GTACGAATTTGATAATTTTATGGACGGGAAAAAGCAGTTATAACTAAAAGAAAGCACTAAAAATTTTAATTTGAAATTTAAAAAAAATCAACAATATTAATTAAAGCGTGCAGAAATTATATTACTGAAATATAATCTGTACAGTGAAGCTTACAAGTCAGAATACTATTTTTTGCTACAGATTCATTATATCACTGTCATCAACACAAGTAGCTTGTGAAAGGTTTTTGAAATTGAAATATATTGTCAATAAAATAGGAAATTCATTGATTCAAGATCATTAGAATCATTTATGCTTATGTCAGCTGTGTGATATTTTGATAGCATTGGAAAATGAAATCATAATCGACAACATTACACAAAAGAACTCAAACCTTAAAAAAAAAAATGCTTAAAATGTATTAATGTGTATTCTGGAGTCTAAACAAATGTATTTTAAATAAAAATGATAACATTTTTTTTTTACTAACCAATTTTTAATTTAATTTTAAAAATAATTTTAAGTGTTCAAAATGTACTATCATTTCATATGAAAATTTAAATTTTTTAAAAGATTGTTTTTATAGGTTTTTCAAAGTAAGCCTATTTATTTTATATTATTTTACTGGTAGAAATTTTTGACCCAGTCCAGCAGCCCTGATAAGACTGCAACACTTTCCAGCATATACTCGATCGGAAATTAAGAGGGATTAGATAGGGAATACTCGCACTACATTAATTAATAAGGAAAACCTTTAAATACTAATCAGTATGAACTATAGTATAAAAAGAGAGAGCTAGAACATGTCAAAAGCACTATCTAGCAATTAAAATAAAATCTTTATTTTGAGAATCGATTTTTTTTTTATTCCGATTTAAATTGATTCAAGAATTTCACATCTCTAATTTATAATTACTTATGTAACCCTTTTTAATTTAATTAATACTTTAAGTTAATACCATAGGCAGATTGTGTCGCTGCAGCCGTTTGATAGGATGCTACATCATATGCAGTTGCAGCAGCTCGTGGAGTTGTATAAGTAGCTGGTGGTACAGCATATCCAGCTTGTGGTGGAGGCTGATAACCAGTTGCAGTACTGAAACATTATTTATAAGGCTAGTTAAATTATTAAATATTTATATAAAATAATAAACAAGTACTAATCAATATAATCTATAGTCAACCAAAGTTAATCCTCCATTATTTAATCCCAGACTTTCCGAAAATTAAGAAAGTTTAAAATGTTTGATTAAACCCAATGGCTTTTTAATCTTATTAAGACTAAAAAAGTAAAGCAATATGTCGAAAACGTTAGAGATCTCTGTAAATCCTCGATAGAAAGTATAAACATGATGGCAGTGACCTTAATTGTAAGAATTCACTAATGAATATCAACCAATGAAAATACCATAAAATAATCTAAAATTTACAAATTAATATTTTGATTATAATAAAAATGAGTAACAATTACACATACAGGAATGAATATATAGGAACAGCTATGATGATGAACAGTAATTAATACAATTATAACAAACAAGAAAAGTAAGCAACGCCAGATTAAAAAAAAGGAAGAGTTTTGAAAGAGAACACAGATTATCATCGCACACGTGTAAGACGCAAGTATTAAATCGTACTATATAGTCAAATATTTATTATTGAACTCAACGTAAAATGAATTAAACCCTCAAAATCATTGGGGTTAAAAATATTATTAGCTCTACATCAGATAAATTTCACACCCACGAGCGTGAATTAAATAGTATCTAATATCTATTACAGAAACATAGCAAAAGTATCAAAATTTCATCACGACCTCGTGCGCGGTAACAATATTTGTCATTATTATTATAACCTAGTGCGCACTACATAATGTCAATTACGAAAACCGCAGTTTAAAAGTTGCAGATGGCGAACTACTAAGGCCGCCGAAACTGTTGTATAGAAACTTACGCATATTGGGTGCCGCCGTGAGTGAACCCAAAATAATTGTTGGCGGCCATTGGGGTGAATCGATTTAACGCTAAACCGCCAGACAAAAACCTGAACAGGCGGCGGCAGTAGACAACAATTAGCAGCGGTTCAGCAGCAGCAGGAGCAGTGCATCACCGGCGACCAAGTCTGTGTACTTAACACGCTGTTTGAACGGCGATGGAGGATAGTTGACTAATGAATAATGAATCAAACGACTGTTATGAACCGGGGTCGGCAAAATATAGTGAAAGGATCATTCGTCGGAAACCGACATAAAATGGCGTCACGTCTATTCATCCGGCACCACCGGCCCAAAGTTGCGCTCGTTGTGTAGCCCGAACATCAGTGCTACCAACACCGTTTGTGGTACTACTAATCGTACATAATTTTTTCCTCCATGCAAATCAAGGTCATAAATTCTATAATTCTACGATTATGAACAAGGTTATGGAATATTCGATTTATGGTATAGTACGGAAACGCCGGTTTAATCAATTGCTGTTGATTGTTGATAGTGTTGATACCACATCTGTAATACAACAAAAAATAAATTAATCCTAAAAAATGTTCATGCCAATTTAATTAACAATTTGTGCTGATTCATACTAGTTACGTGCTAAACATGACCATAGAAAAAGTTTAAAAATCGCATTATTTCACTTTTTGGGGTGCTAGAGAGTAGTGGAGACACGCACAAAAACAAAAAACCTATTTATAATAAAGGTGATTAAGTGAATGACGTGTGAGTTTCAACAAAAAATATAAATGAATAAATTTACAATACCTAATGGCAAGTATTTTGTATCGTTGTGGAATCAAAGACACGTACGGATAAGATAACGGATTTTGTCAACCAACAACTATGATAGTTTTACCATTTAAATACCACTCGTACAATATATATTCTTATTAGTTATTAGTAATTAAATGCTAAGCATTGGGTGGAAAAAAATTTGCAATATTTTTTTTTTATATTTGAGGGGTTAGAAACATGTTCTACAATCTCCCATCACATCCAATTTTTAATTCCACGCTTAAATAATAATTGTACAAATTACAAAACTTGATATGCAAATATACAAATGTATATGTTAATTACAGGTTTAATACTTACCAAAAAAAATTTTAATTAAAAATAAAATACCTAAAATCATGTTATTTTTATAAATATTTTGTTTGTTTTACCCAATCATAAAAAAATTACAAACAATTTTTTATTTTGACTTCTTTAAAATACAATTTAAATTCAGTTTTCTGTAAAAATCATTCTCAAAATTAAAAATCTAAGCATTTTATTGATTACTTATCGTATACATAAACACAAAAAAAACACGTACCTATCATTGTAAAATAAATAAATTCATGGCTCCGTTCTGAATTTAAAAAACCATTCTTTTTTTATGATATTAAATAATAACACATAATGTATTAATGTGTATGGCATTACAACAGATAAAATGAAGTTTTATTTGATCTGTGGTACTCTCTAATAGTTGACTGTGCGGCTTATCTGGCGCAATATGCAGGCAATTTGACTACATTTATGTATAGATTTACAAAATTATAATAATCCAATAATGATAATCGTCGTGTAATAATCATCTTAAGTCTATAAATATACGTATATACTACATTACTGCATAGTAGATACACAATAATTAAGGATTCTTCTTTATTCATTTAGAGTTACCTTAAAATTATAAGAAATAATAATAGGCACCCATATAATTATTTTATTCATTATAATATTATGACTTGTCGACAAAGTTTCTCTGGGTTATTAAGTTAAAAAATTGTGGAACACTCGAAAAACGTAGAGTATTTTATTTAAAAATGATATCACATTAAGTTGACTGTCGATAGATCCGAGATCATATTTAATAGATCATAATGAAACGCTAGCTAATTATTTCAAATTCAGATATAGGAAAAACCGGATTAAATTCGTAATCCAGATTCGTTGAAATAATGCTTCGCACTAATATTTACTAGTTTTAGATGTAACTCAGTATAAATTATTAATCATTAGCCAAAAACATATAAATGATACAATATTTCTAGTTTAAAGTATTCTAAATATGAAGTTAATAAATATTCAATATAATTTTTATTTATTATTTCATGTTTTAAATAATAACAATTTAAATACATTTTGTAAAAAACTCAATAGTTTGGAATTTTTATCATAAAACCAAGTATGTACCTATTAATGAAAATCAATTTTTTAAAAACTTTGCATTACAGAAAACAACAGGTTTGGTACATTTTTTTGGTACCATTAATTTAAATGGCCTTACAGAAGTAATAGGTATAATTCTAATAATGGTATTAGGCTCCAACTTCCAAGATATTTCACCATCAACATGGAATTTCCATCAAATCACTCCTTATAACGAATATCGAACAAATAACCAAACAGAAAGGTAGAACTATCGTTTTTTAAAAATTAATAGGCGTGCGCGTATGTGTATGTATTATTATAAAAAGGTAGTACTTTAATTTTGTTTTGTTTGTGTCACAATATTACTCTTTATATTACGAACTTAATATTCTAAAATATAACATTTTTTTCCTGTTTGGATCAAATTGATCCCCGTTTAAATATCATAAAAATTGATTTTTGTTTTTTAAAGTATGTATTAAATTTCATTTAACATTTTCATTTTATAAAATTTATAATATGCATATCGTATACAATATTCCTAACTTTTATTTTAAATTGTAAGTATTAAGTATGATTAATTTAAGCATTGTACATTTGAATTAAATATTTTTCATAGAAAGTTAGATAAATTAATATTTTAATGAATAATATATTACAATGTAATATTAAACTATTATTTATAAATATAAGATAAAAAACATTTATCAATTATTAAATAAATAATTAAATTTAAATAAAATATAATAATTAAATTTGGCGGTAAGTTTTTTGCTAGATTGTGTTATCACTGACGGATGAATAAATTGTTATCTATATTGTTATCTATCTTAGTGAGTGATATCAACCGTTTAAATTTTACTGTCTGATCAGTGAATAGTGATCACTCTAATCAATTATCTCAAAATATAAAATAAGTAAATGAAGTTACTAAATTTATTAAATTTCAATTATTCTGTAGTCTGATATTTTGGTATATTACGTATTAGCATACATTTTATAGTGCGTAGTGCGTTTAACAACTACTTATATAGTGTATACAGTTTTATTTGTATTATTATAAAACAAAATACTCAGTTTTCAAAATGAGCAGCAAAGTGGTAAATGAGAGTAGTATGTGCTATATTGATTTCTGTCCAAACTGTTCAAACATTCTTCACCTGGACGAGTATATGGGCGAGATGAGACAAAAATGTCAAGTGTGTCCATACTTCTCAGCAATCAAAAATGTCATGCTTGCTTCCCGATCGTTTTATAAACTAAAAGTAAAAAATATTCATTATTATCATCAAACAATACACTATATTATAATAGTCTTTTCATCCATATTAGTGATTCTTATGAAATTGCTATGTACTTGAATATGACAAAATTGTAACAAATTACTGTGTTTAGTTTAACAGACTGAATTTTTAGCTTACTGTACAGGTTAATTTAGTATTCATGGTTAAAACCAAGCAGGCAATGATAAAGTTTTAAGTATATCACTAATATGGTCTAAATTACCTATGTCTAAAATATTTTTGAGAAAAAGATAAAGACCCGAGTTTCATTTTAATGATCCCTCATTATTTAAATTCCAAACATACCAACACATTGATTTAAAAAATAATTTATTAGTGACTATATCCTGTAAAAAAATTTCTTACTGAACTAGATTTTGTACTAGTTTTTATCTAATGTAATTAATTTTAGTTAATTATTAGGTACACTCTTAATTTTTATCAATTATTTTGTACCATTAATTTAAGAAAGGGATGTTTTTTAATTTGATTTTTTTTAAAATACAATTTTGAAAAATAAAACACCTTTTTAAAATTATGTTTCCATAATTTATATTTTATTTGAATTGTTTTTTTTTTTATTATTATTATTATTATTATTATTATTCACAATATTTACAATATAGTAACAATTATATATATATATATACATAAATACTAACCATTCAATTAAAACAAAATGTTTAATTAATTTATGTTTGTTTTGTTAAAAGATAAATATTACGCTATATATCCATAACAATAAAACTAACATCAGTATATTAATATATAGTTTTATATAATTATAAGTTTACCAATCTACCTATATAATCATGTATTTAAGTAGTTACTAATAAAATATTTCAAGTTAATAGTAAAGTAATCACCGTTTATGATAGTTCCCTTCAAATCATTTAATTAATTATTAATCAAGAGGATGTCGTACCCGCATATGTTGTCTCCGTCTTACAAATGCATAACATGGCAAATAGTACTCAGATGATCACGTTAGCTCCTTCAGCTTGAAAATTAGAATGAATTGACCTCTTTTGAAATTTAAAAGTGAGATTATTATCTAGGGCATCTCATAGGCTTTTATTATATTTTAATTTAAACAAGTTATGAGTATTTTAAAATTGTAAATTGCACGCTCTTAAAACACACATAACTTCCTTTAAATAAAATATATCATATAATTCCTAAACTAAAGAGGATCCATCACCCATCAATTTAAAGTTAACCATGATCTAAAATATCTGAAATATATTGCTATATTGCTAAGGACAGCTATATACTTATCTGTATTCTCTTCAATAACTCATAGTTTAATTTTAGTAATTAAAATGTCACTACCGACGAGTTTGTGTGGTATTTAAATTACTTAAATTGTTTTTAGTTGAAATTTAAATATGTATTTTACTTGCAACATATAGATGATAATACGAAGGAAGTATTAGTATTAATACCAGGCATATAAAATATTAAGTATTAACTTAATAGCAATTGAAAAGTTAAATGAAAAAAATGTTCAATTTTTATTTTGTGTTGTAACTGTTAGAAATGTATATTTTGATATACATATTATATATTATGTTTATGTACTGTTCCAGCAATTTATATAGTACTATGCTAGCTGTACAAAAAACTTTTCTAAATAAAATATATACAAATCTTTGAAACAGTACATAAATATTATAATACTTAATATGTACACCAAAATATATATTTCTAACAGTTACAACACAAAATAAGATTTAAATATATATATATTTTTTTTTTTACTTTCATTAAACTTTCTGATATTCTGAGTAATCCAAAGGCTACAAAAAATTCAAGTTACACATTAAATATGCCTGGTCCAGAAACTGCTGGAAAATGTTACAAAATCCTTAACTCAATCAATATTAAACAATTTTCATTGATCCAATTTCCCATTAGAATAATAAATTATGTATGCATTTGTACTAATGTATTATGTAAAATTTTGAACAAAATTATACAAAAATCTTATTTAATATATAATTTGTAACATATTTTCAGGAAATAGACTCAGTTTTGGGAGGCAAAGCTGCATGGGAAAATGTAGATTCAATTGATGTAGTTTGTAATACATGTAATCATGGCAGAGCATACTTTTTACAAGTTCAAACTAGATCAGCAGATGAACCTATGACTGTTTTCTATAAATGTTGTAACTGTGGACATAGATGGCGAGAATAAATTATTAATTATATATATATTATACCTTTTTTAATTATTTATTTTTAAGAAAAATATTTAACTAATATTTGTTATATACTACTAAATAAAATAACACATAGTTCATAATTTTAAAATCAGATTTTTATTCTATAATTATTCTTTTATAGTTAAAACACTAAATAATTGTTGTTTTTTTTAAATAACAACAATCAAAAGAAAAACAAAAAAAAAGTTTATTTACAAAGAAACTGTACATTGGAGTATCTACCTTAAGAGCTATAATTGCTGTATTCATTCAACCCAAGTGCAAAATATGGAAATAAAAATAATCAAATTAATATAAAAAGTAACTTATGACAGCTCTAAGATTATATAATGTATTCAAACAATTTGATTTAAAAATTATCATAAAAGGACTTCATACCTGTTTCTACATAAATATATCTTAAAACACTTATGTTGACACTTACATTCAGAATAATTATCAAATAGTAAATATTATGTCAATGTATTTCTATAAAAAAAAATAACATAATTGTACCGATCATAAGTTTACTATAAAAGGATAGAGATAACAACCATTGTATAACATCCTCTAAGGAAATCAGTCTCACATTTTACTATAATCTTTGCGCATTGTCAGAATATTTTAAATACCAACAACACAACAAACATAGCAAGATTTAGCCCACTTTGGTGCTTATTATATTTCATTATAAATTAAATTGTTAAAGCTAAAATTAATTAAACAAATTATAATTTAAGACTAGAATGGTTTACACCACACAAATGTCATGGTAATTTTATAAGCCCTATAAGTACACTTGAATAGTGGCACAAAATCCTTCTGTACACACTGGGCATTCGTGCATATCTGTCGCACATTTAACACATGCATATACATGTCTACAAGGTATAAATGCTGCTGCCATTTCATCTTTAAGACATACTTTACATGTCATTGGGTCTAATTGTTCTTCGACACACTGTGATGAACTACAAGGTAACTGTTTGAGATCTTTATCCTTTTCTTCATCCATTGATAAGTATACTCTCATTGCCATAGTGAACGGTTGTCTACAAACAGCACACTGTTCAAGGGTTATAGCGCATTGAATACAGGCTATTACATGACCACATGGGATAAAAGCCACTTTCATCTCTTCCTTATAACAAATCTTGCATAGCATAGAATCCGGCATTGTATTAGGATCTCGCTTTTGAGAAAGATGGAGGTTTTCGTCAGATGATATTTTAATTTGACTAATATCAGAAATTTCTGACTGATCATCTAGTTTTCTATAACAAAAAAATAAAAAAATATTCATTAAAGAATCAATTCATTAACAAATTAACAGATTAATAATTTTATAAAATGGTGCTTAAAAAAAAAAATGTAAAAGAAAGCTTTTGGTGATGTATTTCTAATGTTAAATCGACTAAAAACATACATTTTAATTGTAATTGTAATTGCATTTTATGGATTTATTAAAACGATTGAATTAAATTGAGTGCATTGAAAACAACTAAATAATTAACTACAACTTTATGAAAAAAAAAAAAGAGATTCAAGGTGTAATACCTCAGTTCATGATGTTGACAGACAATGTGAATCCTGATTAAAACAAATAAAAAAAACTATAACTAACATTGTAATAATATTAATGATGTTATGAAATTTATTCATGAACTTCAATGTTTTAAATTAAATAATTAACTAGATTCAAATTTCTATTTGTCAGATTTATTGAATAAATTTTTTTAATGATTTATTGAAAAAAAAAAAAAAAAATGTTACTCATTTTATAAACACATACCTTTTTGTCGAATTTACTTTCATATTATTTTCAAGAATGGACGTAGTATCTTTATGTTCAGCAATCAATTTGAATAACTCCTAAAAATTAATTTTAAGGTAAATTTCTAATATTCCATCCATACGATTGAGAAAATTATCAAAATACCTTTGTGTTGAATTTTGAGATATCACTACTTTTCACACCACATGCTTTGTCAACAAAGTTTTTGCCTTTATTTAATAATACATAACTACAAGTTGATGACCATCTAGCATGTTCTGTCCATGGTTCATCGTCATCTTCCCAATCCTTAAGACCTTGACTACAGTAGTAACATAACATCTGGTCATTTGTACCATTGCCTAAAAATATTAAAACAATATTAATATGAGCGGTGAATTAGTACACTACAATATCATTTTACCTATATAAAAAAATCCAGCTTCGCATAAAGTTTGAACATCTTGTTTTAACTGTATTAAACATTTTTCAAAAGATTTCAAGCGTGCTTCTAATGTTGCAAATTCTTTATGCTTAGGAGGTCTAATTTGTTGCAGGACACCCACAGAATCTAAAAAATCTTGTACTTTTTTTGACTCATTATTAGACTGAACATCAGCAGGAGCAGAACCATAAAGACCACATACATCATAACCAGCTAAAAATAGAATTAAAATGTTTAATTATTACAAGCAATCTGTAATAGTACTAGTATAATACATTTTTATAATCTGAAATAATCTGTAGAAACATTTATATCCTAAAAAAATGAAATGTCTTTAAACTTTCACTTTATTACTATTAAAATAAAAATGTATCAACCATACAAATTTATACCTAATAATAATTTATTCATAGATTTAACTAATGTATGATTTAAAAACTCAATTTCACTAACTACACTTTTATTATAAAATAAGTTTTTTTATGGTAAAAATACTAAAATGTAATCTCAATAACTAGCTTACAACAATAATTTCACTTTAGCAATTAATTAGAAAAATAGCATTCAATAGATGGGTCAATTATTTAATAGATTCTCTCTTTTTATAGTCATTGTATGATTATAGTTATGTCATTAAACACATAAAATGCTTATCTTAAAAATCAATAATTTAAACATTAACAGATTAAATTTAGTTATTTTATATTTACCTGAAGAATCATTAAAAAATGGACATTGTGGAGACTGGCGTTTATGTTCAACAGTAGGATCATCACCACGTCGCCAATAATCAAATTCTCTAGAGCAAAATAAACATCTAACACGATCTTGTATGCCCAAATAATATAATCCAGCTTTGGCCATTTGGTTAGGTGTTATAAATGGTAATTTCCATACTCCATCAAACGTTCTCAAGCGATTTTCATATGAAGTCAAATCCCAAGAAGGTCTTTCATCAGACATTGATCTGGATATTGGCTCCAGAGGATTATCAGAAATAGATTCAGTTATAGGATATGAAGTATTTAGAATGATTGGACACCCATTTGACATATGAATGATATTTTTTTCTAATTTTAAAATATTTCCTAATGATGTTGGCGAGACAACAGCTCTATGATTTGGGGATGGAGTCATCTGTAACAAAATATAAATATCAATTAGTCTACATTCTAAAAATTAAACATAAACTTTATTAAAAAAATACATAATTATTTAATATTTATGAACTCAATATACTTAACACAATTAAATATATGAGATAGGTAACTAATTATCAAATAATTCATGAAAAGACAGGTTATACAAGTATTTCATAAAACCAAATCTGATTTTCTTTTTTTTTTTATTATTATTAATGTGATACAAAAAATAAAAACTTGTAATGAATCAAAAATAAGCTTGGCCTGTTCTATTGATGAAACTTTACCTTATAATATTATATTAACTTTTTAGATGTTATAGTTAGGTTTTATTAAACATAAACAATAAAGTTAAGAATGTCGACTTTCTTTTACCTCCTCGTCTATTATTTGTTAAAACTTATAAATTATTACCATTTATTTGGGATCGCAGATATAGATTTATAAATATAGATTATGTTTACTTTCCCTACAACACCGGAGTCTATGTTTATTATTATTTTTACTTTTAATGGTGATATTCCTTCCGTGCTTAACGTACTGAAGTATAAATATTTAGATATATTTTCTTATCTGATGGATGCTGAAGTTGTTGGATACTTTAATAATTAAAATGATAATTGAACATGCATTAAATAAATAAAATAAGAATAATAATTTGATTTAAATTTGTAATATTAATTTAAACTTCACAACGAATAAAAGATCAATTTGGATTGTTGAATTAATATTCCCTTGCTTTTGAGAATAACGGTGGTGTGCTTCTATGAGGAAAGGCTGGTGACTGGATGTAGACTGGCTTTTTTGTCAGAAAAGGGTTCTACTTATAGGCTTGATCTTTTACTTGTTGTTCCATTTTAATTTGTATTACAAAAACATGTTTTTTTATGATATAAAATGTTAAACAAGTAGAATTATATTATTATTAATTGTTTGGTAATTATTTTGATATATTAAAGTGGTTTGTAAATACACGTGTATCTATATTTGGAGCAATTGGTAATTAGATGGATATTATATAGTATAATTATAAATATAAATATTACTGATATAATTTTGATTATTGTGATATTGTTTATGAATATGACTATTTACTTATGCATTAATATGTATGATGAATAATATGATATTTAATTATAAGGCTTTGTAGCGTAATAATGTGAATATCATTACAAACTATTCTATGTCAATCAAAAGATTATTCTGAAAATTTAAATAATAAATCTGATATGTAATAATGATTGATTTATCAATCATGAAAATTTAAACTTCAGAATAAAAGCATAATTAAGGAAAATATAAATTGACTAGATCTACTTTAACGCTTCAATAATTCATCAATCAAAACTTAAAATGTGTACCCATATTCAAAATTAATAAGTATTGTATATAATATTGAATAAATGAACATCAAAATGTTCTCCTCAAGAATTTAAAATCAATAGCCTGGTTGCCAATTGAAAATGTAAATATAGTTTGATCCAATGAATGAGAGGTGATTATTACATGAAAAACATAAAGGTATATACCTATAAGATTTGTAATTGTTTCCAAAAATAAATATTTAAATTATAAATTTTCCATAAAAATTGACTTATTTTCCCTTAAAGAATCCTTAGCAACTATATATGCTACAAAACATAAGAATAAGACA